AAAGGCAGTCTCAGACCGGTTTATTGATAAGACACAATAAAATGATAAGGGGGATCAAGAGAATAGAGTTACTATAACATAACATGCTAAGGACCATATTAGAACAAGAAGTAGCAGAGAGGGTAAGAAGTTGCGAACTGCGTAGGCACACTGAAAGTACGCACCACAAAACGCATAATTTCCAGGTAACTAACGGCTCAGTTGGTTTTCACTTACGACCAGCTTTCTTATGCACAGCGAGAGTGAAGACGTAAAAACAAACTGATAAGATAGGTGTATAACGTTAGATATTACCTAGGTTTTTTCATGATAATGCAGTGCACGTGTTCTTGATAATAATAACGTAAATACTAGTGATCACGGATAGAAACGTTTACAGACAAAGTCGGTTAGAAGCATGTAGGTAAATAAGATATAGGTGAAGAAGGATTAAAATATACATTAGCAGTGACAAATAAAGTCCAACTGATATACGCTAGTGAATATATAAGAGGCTAATGTTAACATTTTGGGAAAGTTTAAGGTAAGGATACTTCTTACTAATAAATGTCCTAGATTACTGAATGCGGATAATGGTTGACATGCTTCGTATTATAAAGATACCAATTTGTAAGATAAATATAAGCAAAAAAGTTCACATTTTTCAGGTGTAATAACAACTCTTGCCCCCCCCTCTCTCTCTCTTCCCCCTCACTCACTCTCTCTCCTCCCCCCCTCTCTCTCTCTCCCCCCCCTCTCTCTCTCTTCCCCCCTCTCTCTCTCTGTCTGTCTCTCTCTCCCTCTCTCCCTTTCTCTTCCTCTCTGTCTCTCTCTTCCCCCTCTGTCTCTCTTTTCCCACTCTCTCTCTCTCTTCTCTCCTTCCCCATCTCTCTCTCTTTCTCTCCTTCCTCATCTCTCTCTCTTTCTCTCCTTCCCCATCTCTCTCTCTTCTCCTTCGCCATCTCTCTCGCCTTCCCTATCTCTCTCTCCTTCCCCATCTCTCTCTCTCTCCCTCTCCCACCCTCCCTCCCCCCATCACTCTCTCTCTCTCTCTCTCTCTCTCTCTCTCTCTCTCTCTCCCCCTCCCCCTCTCTCTCCCTCCCTGCCTCACCTCTCTCTCTC